ATAAGAATGGTTTCTTTTTTCTTTTAATTTCATGGATGTGGTGAAGGAGGACATGCAGAGGATTGGGATGTGTTGGGATCCCTTCACCCCAACCGGTCACAGCAGATTCCGGCATTCCGGTTCTGGCAGAACCTGAGTCTGGGTTCTGCCAGAGTTTACTTCCTGTTAAAAGGGAGTTTTTCCTTCCCACTGCTGCCAAGTGCTTGCCCTAAGGGGTCATTTGATTGTTGGGTTTTTTCTGTGTTGTTGTAGGGTCTTAACCTTACATTATAAAGTGCCTTGAGGAGACTGCTGTTGTAATTTGGTGTTCAAAGCTCATTTGCTGGTGTTGTGTTTTATTCATGTTCATGTTAGCTAAGCACAGACCTTCTCAAAGTGTGGGGCCCGCCCCCTAGGGGAGGCGCAGAGCCATGGCAGGGGGGGCGCAGTATGAAAAGAGGGGAAAAAAAACAAAACGCTTGGACACTGCTACCATGGGGCGCCCACGGACACGCAAAGCAGGAGATGAAGCATGGCTGAATATGTTTCCAAACCAACTTCATTCTAAGCCAAAGACTAGAAAATATGGTGAAGCATATCTTCCCTTTGGCTTCACCTGCACAAGTGCCAAGGTAGGTCTCCCCTGCAGAATTGGTTTTACCTTGTTGGGAGCACGCACTGGGCTCTTCAAATCACGGACAAACGGTATCCCACATTCTTGATTGAAAGGAGTTTTAAAAAATTATCAGTTTCCGGTGATTCGAAACGCCGTTTACGTGTGGAAGAAACAGCTGCGTTTTCAAAAATACCCGTGTAGGTGTGGACGTAGCGTAAAAGAGTTAGTGGTTTATTTTATTATTTATTTACTACCTGCAGATTACTTGTATTTGCTTAACTGTTTACTAAATGTTTGAGGTGTGAAATAAACCGCAATGGAGCAAAATGGGGGGGCGAACATTATTCTTGTAAAACAAAGGGGGGGGGGGCTAGCAAAAAAAAGTTTGGGAACCACTGGCTTAGCAGAGCAGTGACACCATGAGTGCAGCAGGCAGCTGTGTTAATTAATTGAGGCCCCTCCTCTGTGTTAAAATAATGACCCATCTGGGGAATTTCAGGCCACCTTGCCCATCTTCTTCCACACACCACAGAACTAACAGCCTGATGATATAAATTTAACGAGACAATCAGGACAAGGTCGGATTTAATAATTCTTTTGAATTTGATTGGCCCACTGTGCCTAGACCAGGCAATAGACACATGACAGTCAACTTTGAACTAGCCAATAGGTGGAGGCTTGACACCTGAAAGGTAAAAAGAACACAAAAGCAAAGCCACATCTCTTGGCACGTAACAGTGGACTACTGAATTTCCTCTTAAATACCAGAGTATCTGTATTTAAGATGTTGCCCATGTGTTCAGCTGCTAGTGGAGGGAGGGGCTGTGTGTCAGATGGAGGAGACAAAGATGGCTATGTTGTTGAAAATGAATGAAATGAAAAGCATCTAATTTGATAGTAATCTTTATTGGTACCCAAATATCACTCTCTTTTAACAAAACCCTATCTGGCAAAAACCAAAGTACTGTCATGTTTTCAGAAATTTAGTACTGAAAGGTAATGTAAATATTGGTTTTGGTGACATCCCTGATTATACTCGTGCTATAGTTTTTTTTTTTTGTTTTTTTTTAGTAATACTATTTAGTAAAGTGAAAACATGGTGTAACATCTTGAGATATCAGCTAGTTTTGTGGCTTTCTGCTGCCTCCTAACTCTGCTCAAGCCCTGTTTCACGGACGCCTGGATGTTAAAGAGACCAGCCTCACTGACTGTTTTATTGGAGCTGAAAGACATTTTGACTGTCACTGATGTTGCCGTCTTTGATCTGGGAAACTGAAGGAACATTTGGACAGGAAATGACTAATTATGCCAGACTAAGTGAATTACACCCAGCACCTTTAAATCCATTGAATAAACAATGTCCAGGGCATCCTGCTATATTCAGCCAGCACATTGTGCAGGCATTGTGCCGAAGAGACATGAAAGAGAAGCGTCAGAGTCTGTGAGCCTTGTAGTTTGATATTCAGGCTGAAAACATGAAACCTTTTTTTTTTCCTGCCTTCGCTGCTCTGATCTTGAAGATATCGACACTCAGACCAGCTGCAGTCAAACAGAAGCACGCAGGACTGGTCAGACCAATGGTATTTGGACACTTAGAGTGCACTCAGGGAGAGCGTCAGCATCTTGTATTAACAAGATGCTGACGCTCTCTAGTTGGTGAGATTTTCAGTTAGTGAATATTATTAAAAATATTATGGCTGAATATTAAAATGTTGGCTGATGAGGGTCCAGCCATTAGAATCAATCAGAAGGGTCGGCTGGAGACGAGAGAATCCAGAGAAATGTGAAGTTGTACTGCCAGAAACTTGAGAGGCAGCTTTTAGGCTTTTGAGGGATGAACTGTGCGACTTACAAATGCCCCCCCTTCCACAGACACAAAGCCTACCCTGAATGAATGAAATCAGGGAATCAGGAGACATGGGGAAACACTCATTTTGTGTGTGTGAGTGAGAGAAAGGAAGAGAGAGAAGCAGAGCAGAGCTGGGAAAGAGAGAGAGAGTGAAGCTGTTTTCTGAATCGTGTGGCAGCGTCTAGCTTTTCCATTAGTGGAAGGGAGGAAAAAAAGCTTGGTGCTTTTTGATGTTACATCCAAATGTTCCTAAAATTTCACGCTGAACAACTTTAATGGGAGCAAAAGGTTTAGCTGAGACACACTCACACACACACACACACACGCACACTTAGGAGGATTGGAATTTTTGTGCATAAATTTGCCATGTGTGCTGTGAATGTGTTTGCGTGCACCTGTGCAGTCAGAGTCTGCATGTGTATTTCTGTCAGCATAGAAATCCTACATCACCCTCTGTTGATCCGACATGTTCAGCATGCTTTCAGTAAATTGCTTGTAGAACATAAATGACTCAAGGAAAGAGGGGTGGAATAAATGGGGGGATATAACCTCACGCTCCACGGTTTGAACTTTTCAATTCAGCCAATGCCATTTCAAAGCCAGGTGCATTAAAAGGCAGAAGCACAGCAGGAGTATGGCTTACAGCGGCAGAAAGCATTTAAAACCTTTTTGGGACACAGTCAGCAAGAGTTTGTCACCACCCGTGAGTGGTGATTGTGTATGTGCAGGTTTTTGTGTTCCGTGTCCTCTGAAATCACCAATCACCAGATAGGCAAATAGCCTCGTCACAGTGTAAACAAACCCTGAATCAAAAAAAACATGAAGCACGAAGGTGATCACGGTTTCTTAGGCAGAGGTCTCTAAAGGACACAGCTGGGAGATTCCTAAATACTCCTCAGCCATTGCTGTGGATGGTAGGCGTGTCCGAGGATATGCCTGAGCTAGGCTCGTGCATTTGATTGACCAATTGGATGTGAAGGCTGGGGAACACCTACTCTGATTGAGTAACAGTAACACAGCACTGCAAAGACTCCTTATGTGTGTTTTTGGGAATCTGTGAAGAAGCATCATGTCGAGGATGTTCCATTAGCAGAGAAACACTGACCCCTTCCTCAGGTCACTCATACGTACAAATATTTGTGAAAGGAGGTAAATGTGTGGCTTATTTGCTTATTTAAATGCATTTAAATGACTCCTTTTTCATGTTATGACTCGTCCTGGTGGCTCAAAGGATTAACGGCCATGATTTAGCTGTTTGAGCAGCTGTCTCCTTATTTTTGATTTAAGCAGCGCTATAGAAGCCTGAAAGCGTTTCAGGATCTGGCAACATGCCACGATTGTTTTAGCCGCTCGTAATTTGAAGTCTGCTGCACTTGGTTAATAACATTTACCAGAACGATGCGTGAGCTTCACCTCATCTGCTTCTGTTCCCATGAGCGAGGCGCGGAGCTGTCAGTTTCTGCAGTAAAACATATGAATATGAAATAAGACGACTGTGAGAAATGTTACACCGCCAAGCTTTTCTTATTGGAACGAGGGCTCTGAGACGCGTGCACGTGCATGCTGGCGTTTCTGACGTTGGCTGTGGTTTTGGCTGCCGCAAAGGCCGAGCCTGAGATCAACGGAGGCCATTGTTGCCCCGAGCGAGAGAAGCAAACCATTCTTTCCACTTTCCATTTCAGCTCTTGTCTGTTATTTTTTTTTTTCCTCAGGAAACGTTTTTGTTTCCAGCTGTTGTTAAGGGCGATGAAGGCCAACATGTTTCATGTGTAGAAAATTTTATATCAAGCTTCATTAACAGCCAACATTTTACGGTTGGAGGTGGATAGGGCTATACGTGGCCCCGTTACCGGGATGTGAAAATGTGAAATATGACTTTATATTAACTTAAATATGGAATCTCAGCCGGCCGAAGTGCAGCATGTATCGGTACCTTTAAATGAAAGTGGTTTTCTTTGGATCTCAGAGAACTGAACACAGCTGCTCTTGTTTTTTTATTTTCTGCCAAGATTTTCACATTTTTGTTTAAAACTTAAGAATTTGACTGCTTCTTGAAACAAGGGTGACTCACTCACTTTGCATGTGCATGCTTGTGTGTTTTCAATGTAAACTTGCAAGAGACTGGTTGTGGTGTCAGTCTGCTAGTTTGATTACACTCTGGATTAACTGCACGAGTTGTTCTGGCTCATAACTGAAGTGCAATTGCTCCAAGATTACTCCTGAACTACTCTTCTTGCATCTTATCTTATTGTCCTGTAAACAGCAATAAAACATACTGGGTTTGTCTTCTGAGTCCTTCTTGAAAACCTTTCTTGATCCCTGACTGGCTGACTGGGCTGCGTTTGTCCGTGAGAACTACTTTGCCTATTGACTTCTAAAGATTGTATGAAATATGTCTGTTCCCTGTCTGTTTCACATCTTATGGCCCTGTAGTCCTGTACTCTTTGTCTCATTCTTATCCCCATGTCCTTGTTTACTAAGCGTCCTGTCTCCGTTATGTTGCTGCCTCATTGAAGGTTGTCACAGTGTGAACACTCATGAATTTATCACCCCCAGTACTGGGCTGCGCCTCCACAAACTGTAACCTGGTGCTAACGGAGGCCCAGGGAGAAATCACATCACCGTGCTATCCCCAGAGATACCCCAATTCGTACAACTGTAGGTGGATCATGCAGGCCCCCACCGGCTTCATTATCCAGCTGTCCTTCCTGGACTTTGAACTGGAGGAGGCGCCGGGATGCATCTATGACTGGGTGAAGGTGAATACAGGCAGCGCTGAAGTTGTGTTCTGTGGTCTGACGGCCAACGGGCTGACGCTAAACTCAACGGGGAACCAGATGGTGCTGTCTTTTACCTCCGACTTCAGTGTGCAGAAGAAAGGCTTCAGAGTTAGCTTCCAACATGGTAGGTGAAAGCCGCCAACAGGGTCCTGATCTTCAGCTGTGTCTTAAGTCAGGCATTAAACAATAAGAGTTTGAGGATGGGTTTGGTGACAAGGACGGCTCATTTGGTTACATCAAAGGGCCGATGTTACAGCATGAGGATTACAAATGCTCTGCTCACTAAACTCTGACCAAAAGCACCATTGTCACATGTAACACACAGTGTTTAATCAAGGAGAATTTGGTCCAGGAGGTTTTTCTCACGCAGGTGTGAACCCACTTTGGTTTGCTGACATGTGAAATCTTTGCAGCCGACCATTAGCAGTCCAACAACCAGCCAGTGTTTATGTACTCACAGATGGAGGGTGTATGTGTGCAGCATACTGCAAAGTTTCAAACTGGTAAAAACCAGCAGGGGTGGCCACATCCGCCATACAATTATATCCAGCCCATGAGATAATTTCATATGTCAGTTATTGATAGCCCTGCTGAGAATCCATGCGGACGGGGGCGGGACTTTAATTTGATAGGAATGATACATAAAAAAAAACTCCCTTATGGCTGTTCGTACTGCACAAAGTAATTTACAGTACGATAAACAATTAACCTGCTGAACCCCAATGCCCCGTTACCGGAGACGAGAGGGAGAACATCTGGTTTAATGTGATGTACAGAGATCTGTTATTTAAACATAGACGTGTGTGGTATCCACGGGAACGTCAGAATCTCAGCTGAAAGCGCAAAAAACCATTTTAACGACCACCAAACAGCTGAAACAGCAAACGATGAAAGAACAGGTAAACAGACTCTGCAAAAAGATGTAAACACAAAGTATGGCGCGTTCACCTGATGGCGTATACGTGGACACACCATCAGTGCTGACGTCTCACAGATTCTGATGTTGCAACCTCATTTCTGCTGTTCAATTCCGAAGAAATTTCAACTTTCACAAATTCTGCCAAATAACAAAACACGTAGCTTTGTCTCTAATAAAACCTCAGTGAAAAACAAAGGTTTCTGCTTTTCACTTTCTACCATAAAAATCTATTTTTTAAGACTTAAGTTAAAATCTAATGGACAGTATCGAAAATGGGCTAGCAGAACTTTTTCTGCAATTTTACATATTTATTTCTTACAGTTTAAGTCCAAAGAGTTGCGCTGACAGATTTCTTTCTTTGTCACAGCAAAGAACGAAATCAATTAAACACATAACTGGCCCACTTAAGGTCAAAGTTTGCTGTAAAATGAGTTTGACACCCCTGGCATAAAGCCTTAAATCATGTGAAGAGGCCTTATGGTCTCTGAATGAACCAACAGGTGCAGATAACATATAGCGTTAGCTTAGCATGGATTTCAGGGCAGTTTGTTGGCCCAGGAAATGTTGGACATTGGACTGGAGAGTGGAAAGGCTTTGTTGTTTAGTACCAGGTGTCCAGTGTCATTGCACTCCCTGCTCTTCATTCACCAACACGTTAAGACACCTGCCATCAATGCCTGTGTACAGCTCCTAGCTCCAGCTTAACACCATGACAACAAAGCTGTTCCTAAATCAGAAACATTTATCATCTATCATCTAAAAACAGAGGGAAGTGTTTCCACACCAGTTGTTTCATCAGTGATAAAAAGTATAATCAGTCAATCAATTTCCTGGTTTGTATGAGAGGCTGAATTGGACTTGGAAACTACATTGTCTCCTCGCTGGAGGCCAGCCTCTTGACTTTAGCTGTATGAGTTCATGCACAGTCTGACTGAAGGTGCATGTTTTTAGGTTATGGTGCAGTCAAGAGACCGAAGCGTCTCAGACGTCACAGACAGTCCGATGTGTCACCGACTGACCCAACGCTGTTGCAGTGTGTTGATGCACCGTGTGTACCTGCCTTCCTGCATGTTTGCTGTGTATATTTGAGCGCTTTTCCAGTGAGCAGTGAGAGATGACAGCTCCAGCCAGAGCCGCTCTCCTGCTGAGAAACGTCGTTTGACGTGACGCTTGAGAAAGGCTGAGGTCCTGGTTAGGAGCTGCTTGTGGATAAAACGTCTGTTTTCTGAGAGTCGAACTCAGACTCATCATCACCGCTTTGCTTTTTTCAGTCAAACTTTCATTTAAAAAGTTCGGCACATGAAGCAAATATTATCACCAAATCACATCTGAACAATAATAATTAGCTTTGTTGGGTGAAATCGAGTTTTGATTTGACCTGTTTAAACTGAAAAACCAATCAAAGACTCGGTAATTTTCCCTTCTGTGATTCTGAGTTTTCACTCCCGTTTTTGTCCTTTTTTTTTTTTTTTTTTTTTTTAACATTTCTTTCTTTCCTTGATTGAATTTCTGGATTTCTTTTTATTTTATTTTATCTCTTTACATTTTTTGCTTCTCCTACTTTCTATTTTTGTTATTTTTACTCTCTTTCATTCTTTGGTGCTTTTGTTCTGGAATTTTGTCTTTTATTTCATTTCTGTCTTTTTTCCTTTTTTATCCTGAATCTTGAATTTTTCCTGAATTTTCTTTTATTCTTTTTGCTCTTTCACCTTGTTTCCTTTTGCTGTTGCTTGCTTTTTTCCTGTTTCTTTCCTCCTTTTTACTTTTCTCGTCTTTTGTCTTTACTTCTCGTCCTTCCTTCTTCTCGATGTCCTTCTCTGCGTTTTAGTTGCTGTGGCCCTGAGGAACCAGAAGATCAAGATGAGCAGCGGTGTCGGGCAGATCACCAAGGTCGCCAATTCTGTTTCCATCCCTGCGCTGAGTCAGCTGACCATATGCTTCGAGGTGGAGCGCACCAGCCTGAAACAGGTCTGGATAAACGTCACTTTTTGATTTGACTAAACTCCATCTGGTCATTTATTTCTTTATTTCATTAACTTTTTTTTACAGCTTCAGTCTTAAGTAAGTCAAATCATAAGAAAATAGACCCATTTAGGGGCTTTAAATTATTTAATTTATACGCACATGTGTGTTATTCATCCCACCAGAGCAAGTTTGTGTTAGCTATTGTTCTTGTTCCCTGAACAGAAAGAATGGATCTTCACTTACTCCAAAGACAGCAGCGCCATGTTGCTGAGTCTTGGTTCCGATGGAACGGGGATGAAGATGGTGGTTGATGGAGTGGTCTGTCCAATAGACAACATCATCTTACCATCTGACTTCACTAACTCCATGAAGTCCTTCTGTGTCATCTGGACATCATCAAATGGACGTGTGGCTGTTTACTTCAATGGGAACTACTTGGCCAAGACCTGCTCCAGCTCCACCGGACACTCCGTGCAGGCTGGGGGAGAATTCCGGATAGGAAGTAAGCTCCAATACGAGTTGTATGTTTTTGATGCATTTTGTTAGACGTGCACGTAAAGTGTCAAACCACTTTAAAGACATTCTGCAGAGAAACTTCACCACCCGGTAATCACAGGTTTGGGGATCTGCGGGATTATGAGATGTGAAACTGTGTGCATTAAAGGATAAAATGGATGAAAGACACTCGTAGACAGAATATTAAAGCAAAAAAAAAAAAAAACCTGGAATGCTGATTCTCTGCGTGACATTTCATGGCGCCCTGTGCTGTCACATACAGTAACCTTGGTTTGATAAGTGATGCAGTCACTTCTGTTAGTAAGCGGGAAAGTCTCAAGCCCTGCTCTATGGTGCTGAGCTCATTACTAACCCGCTTCTACCTAAGCAGACATTGATGTAACTGCATACTTTGAGGATGTAGAATTATTATTGTGATCTTAGAGGAAAATAAATTAATACTCTGCAATACTGCAATGCTCAGTGCTGTTTTTCTGGGATTTGTTCAGGTCAGCAGCAGAGCTTCGATGGGAACATCTACAACCTGCGGCTGTGGAATTACGCCATGTCCATTCAGGAGCTCGGCGCATTAAAGTGTGACCACGTGGGGAATGTCATCGACTGGGACAACAGCTACTGGACCATCCCGGCCTCTCTGGCCCAGACGAACACCTCGCTCAGCTGCAGTGAGTACAGGAAAGAAATCAAAATGTGATTAAACAAGCACGATGGCGGGAACAGGAGGGTGTGCTGCATGGGCTGTGATAGAGCCACGTGTGTTGCAGGTCAGGGGTGTCACACTGACCTGCCAGGAGGCCTGAACTGGGTCACTGGATGGAAATGTGCAAAAAGGAGAGAACTTTTTTATTCGACTTTTTTACTGCATGAGCACCGATCAGAAAGTTTGTTTCTCTGCACATCCAGCTGCTAATCTTAGATCACTCCCTGGTAGTCCAGTCTGACACTTCGCCATCTAAACAGACCTCGAACACGATCAAAATTTTTAATGACGGATCAATGCCAGGATCGGAACATTCTGAGCCCCACAGCAATGAGTGAGAGCAGGAGCACGATCGCCATGTTTTTAAATCATTTATTGGCTGTTCTGCGATGAATGAGACCCCTGAGGTATCTGCGCACACAGCACTCTTACTGTGAAGGAGATTTTTGGCTGCACCGACACATCGCCATCTTCAGTCACGATCTAAACCGCTTGGCAGATTCGCTGCATCGTTGCCCACTTCCCGAAAAATAAAACCGAAGTTGAATGATGACCAGTTTGACACTTTTAGAGAGATCCCGCAGCCATCACAGAGGGACTCTAAGAATAGCAGCGGCGCTAAAAGCAGGCACATTTAAATGAGGCTTTTCATTTGCATCGAGCGTTCCCGTAAGCTTCTGCTCACACCTCGTGTTTCACACTAGGAAGCATTGTGTTTCAAGTCAACCGGGCTGCGTCACCGCGGTGGCGTCCGACCCAGAGGTCTGAATCATTGTCAGCATTACATTACCCACAGCCTGCCACAACACACAGAAAAAAGGCGGTTAAATCGAGAAGCCACGCTGACACGTTTCTTTGATTTACAACATTAGACTGAGCAAATGTGGAAAAGCTGAAACACGAAGAAGAAACTAAAAAACTCAAACTCTGTTCTTTAGCTGGAACCAGCGGTCCACACAGAGGAGTCAGGAAGAGCCGAGAGACGTTCTAACACATCATATTTGCTGAGTGTGCACACTAAACGTTGCCATGAAAACATTTTTCTTCCCATTTACTGTGGCACCAAGAAGTCGCATGTCTCTCCCACACACACACACCTCCAGGTACTCTTCAGTCAGCACTTCAGTCTGTTTGCTATCAGCGTGGAAAATTAGAACCAGACTTCAGCCAAATTCTGGTAGATTTTAGCTGCGCCTGGTGACTTAATCAGCTCCAGCAACCTGTTTGGCTGCTGATCAGAAATCGCTGTGATTCCTGCTCTGGTCCACAAACCCACTTGGCTGGTGAAACACACAGACACAGATGTGTGCTACTGTACCGCTCCGAATGGAGGCATGTACATTTAAATGACTCAGTTATTAAAGATTTCTCACTGTTTTTATTAACATGTTTTGCACACATACACACACCCACTGGTACAAACCTGCGTGTACATTTGTGTTTGTGTGTGTGCGCGCGTGTGCGCGCACCGACAGTGCAGTACCTCCTAGTTAAAGCTTTGTAAACGAGCGTATAGCCACAGGAGGTTAGCCACAGCGGTTTTAGTGAAATTCCAGCCAACACTGTACCCACTGAAGAAAGAGCCTTCTGTGTGTGTGTGTGTGTGTGTGTGTGTGTGTGTGTGTGTGTGTGTGCATGCCTGTTTACCTCTGAGACTTGTGGTGGTTTTTCAGAAATGCATGATTCTGCACTAACCTTCCATATTGTCCTGCGCTTACAGTAAGAAGCTGACATTATCTTTTCCGGGGGGTGGGGGCATTCACTTTAGCTGTACCTGAAACTTTATCTGTGAGATCCACACATACAGAGACTTTATAGACCGAGACATGAGTGAGGTTTTTCATGTTACAGCTTTGACATGGTGCAGCACACAGTGCACAACAAGCTTCAGAGCGACATCAACAACAAGTGTTTAAGACTGCAGGCATTTCCATTTCGGGTAACCTCCACACATCTGCAGACACGCACTTTTGATTTTGAGGGATCTGCCTAATTCCTGGAGCTTCAGACCACCTACGCTGGTTTGACTGATGTGCTGAAGATTAAACGCTGCCTGAGTGACTGATGACTTACTTTCTGTCTTTTGTTTATTAAGTGTGTCAACCTCACATTTCCATTTACAGATCTCTCCAATGATTCTTGCCTGTATTGTTTTGGAACTCATGCCCACTAACCTGTCCCTCTCTTCACAGTTTGCTACCCTCATTGTATTCACTTAACAACTACTGCGCCAGCTAGTGGTGAGTGCTGCTAACACCTTGTGTGCACCTGTGTGAGTGTGAGTTTATGTGTGTGTTGGCTTGTGCTAATGCATGAACTGGGATATGTAACGGTCTCCTTTTATCATTCTAATACAGTAGCCTTTGGATTCATGTTTCTTTAATGTAGAAAAATCAGCAAAACATAATCACAAAACAAAAGATCTTCCCCAGCAGCAGTTATTTAAAGGTTCTGTATATGTTATTCTCAGATTATTATAGGTTCAGATTATCAGCTGTGTATGAAAGCTGTAGATTATGCTCTGTGGCATCTTCCATCAATTTCCGGATGCACTTTGAAGCCTTGACTTTACCAGGATGTTTTTTTGGCCTGTATTAAAGCAATCCGCATCCATATACTGTACAGATGCAACACGCATCTCTTCTCTGTGCATTAAATACTGTCATAACCCTGCAGCCGAATCATCCAGCGATACAGAAATGCATTGTTAGATAAACTAAACACTTTTTTTCATTTCATCATCAGTATCCACAGGTTCCCAGGATTAAAACACCATTAAAGTCTCTTCTTTCACATATTATAAATTAAACATCAGTAATCGTATCATATCAACTCATAATGAAAGTAACTTTTGCTCGTATCCCTAGATGATCACATTTGCTGCAGCTGGCCTTCCGCATTTTGCTCAGCAGCAATCGCAGCAGAATTATTAATAAATAAACATGACATGAACTTAATTGGTCCCTGCAGGGAAACTGGATAATTGCAGCAGGAGGAAACACAAACAAGAGGATTAGTCTGGAGAATAAAATATGTTGGGAGTCATTCGCAGATGTCTGCTGCTCGGAGATTAGAAATGATTTGATGTCACACTCATTCACAGGTTTGTGTAGCAGAGGTTCAAATGCAGGTCACAGCTTGTGCGAATGGATTCAGATACACATAAATGCCATTTACACAGAAGCAGTAACAGCAGTGGGAAGGTTTGGAAAAGTCTGAAAAAGCCCTGGAATCTTTTTAATTTCATTCGCTGTCATTCATTGAAGAAAAATGTGATGCGTCTTTAGATTTTTGGACAAAACAAGCAAATATTTTAAATTTTTGCTTAAAAACTGAATAATTATTGAGCTCCAGATTTTAAATCATCTGTCCTTATTTGGTGGTGATCCAGCTGTTTGCAGTGACCTCTCTGTTAATGTCTTTACTATTATTAAGTTTAATTAATGTTCAGGAATTTCAGTTATGTGATCTTTAATTGTCATTGAATTAGACATTTTTGAGGCGAGTCAGGAATAATTGATTGTTCTGTATTGATAAAGCTTATTGATAATTAATAAATAATAATTAGGTGTATACACTAAAAACTGTTTGTGAACTCCCAGAGAGACACAGTTCCACACAAAGCTGTGTTTTATTATTTAAATAAATAATCATTTAAAATGAGTTCTTAGAAGTGAAAGTGGCCCTGGCCGCCCGTTGACCCCCCGCCTCCGTGTTCTTCATTTAATTTATTATATAGTTAAAAAGCGCTTTGTATGTGCTTGGAAAGAAAAAGTTCATTCCATGAAGTGGAATGAAGCAGTTAGATTTACATCATACTCTCATACTTGGTCCAGTATGTTGGGGAAATGAAATTAGTCCTTCAAACAGGTCTCAAAACGTCTTTGTGTAACAGAGGACAGCGTGCAGTAATGCTGGCCGTGCACACTGTCCAGAGAGGGAACACTGAGAGTCACAGCAGCCACAGTTTAAGGATTAACTGAGCGAACTGTTGTGTTTTAGTCTGAGCCCAATGGAGATGCACAGGAAAGGATCAGAGCAGACATGTGAGGTCCCATCTGAAGGTCGCAGAGCTCTTAAACACGCAGGCTTCATGCTAATATTTGCATGTTTGGCTAACGAGCTAAAGGTATTAAGAAAAAAAAGTCTCAACCATCTTTGCTGAGCTGTAAGCAAACGAACAGTTTTTTAGACACGCTGCTAAAACTAAACGGTCCTCTGTAATGATGTTTTCACTGACTGTGTGCTCACTTCTGAGGGTACAGTTTGTTGGTGCCCATCCTATTCAGATGAACAGTTCACCCTGAATTATATTTTTGTGTTGTAGCATGTTTTCTTCCACTTTAGGAGGAGGGTTCATATAGCCTTTAGTATGTGGCCAGTGCTGGTGGACACAGAGTGCTGGATTTACCTGCCAGAGCTTCAGTGGACTTTGATTTTGTGTGGTTTTCATCACCATTTGATGATGTCATCTTTGGCTTTGCCTTTTTTTTACCTGCGTTTTTCCCGTGTTTCTTTTCTTTTCTACTTTTTAGCTGTACTGTCAGTGACAATAGCAATGAAGAAATACACTCAAAGGCAATAAACTGCCATCACCATCTCTACTTCATACCTTAAGCGACTTCTACAAGATATCTCTGTCATGTGTAGAAATGGATAAGGTGGACCCAGAATGCAGACTTGGAGGATGCAGTGGAAATACCAAAGCTAACCTTTAAATCCAGGCTGCAATCCTAGAAATCCAAGAAATCCTAGTAACAAGTGACAGAAAAAAAACAAAGTCTGTGTATCAAGTGGGAGAAATGTATGTCTGATATCTATCTACCTATCTACCTACCTACCTATCTACCTATCTATCTACCTATCTATCCATCCATCCATCTATCTAAAAACTTTATAATGAAACAAAAACTGGATGATCTGTCCTTTGAAGCATAAAAATGGTGACTGTTAAACTAAAACTAA